CCTTGGGCCACTTCTTAATCGATTTGCTCTTGTGAGCCTTGCCAGCCGTGTTGAATTACCTGTTTCTTTATCATTCTCTCCTACCTTGAAGCTTCACTCTCTTCTGCCTCTAGGCCCCTAGCATGGGGCTTACCGTCATAAATGTTTATTGAATGAATAATTTATTGAATGCTTTTTAGTCAGATTATCCCATAAGGTTCTTTATTAAGCATCTCAGAGTTTTAAATCTTAAATCACCGAGGCTGCTGAATTGTCTACTATAACCATTCCTTTCATGCCCTACTTTTGCATACCTGCTTATAAAAACAGATTCTCCATTGCTTCTTTAAAACTTCATGTATTGTGTGCTTTATGTTCTTGAAACAAGTTTGTTTAGTCACCTTCATGAGCTTATTCATATGCCTACTTAACTATAAAAAAATACCTTTTTAAAGATAACAGATACTTAATTTCAATATATTGGCAGTACTGACTAGTGAAAATTGAGTATGATGAAAAATTAAAATACACTTTAAAATATTCAAAAATTCTTATTTCCCAGTATGTGTAACATTGCATGACGACAATAACAAGGTAGATTTTGTCTAAGTTATGTGAAATATACAATAATAGGGGTTCAAGCATGTTTACATTTATTACCTAATATTTCTTTTTCTTCTATTCTTGCTGCCAAAACCCTTGTCATACCCTGTGTTAAGTATTCATGTGGATGCAGAGCAGTGGCCCGTCTACCTGTCTCTGGTCTTTTTTTCCTTCTCCCAGAAGCTGTCTAGTACATTTTTTAAAATATATTTTTATTGAAGTATAGTCACTTTACAATGTTGTGTCAATTTCTGGTGTACAGCACAATACTTTAGTCATATAGGAACATACATATATTCATTTTCATATTCTTTTTAGCCATAAGTTACACAAGATACTGAATATAGTTCCCTGTGCTATACAGTAGAAACTTGTTGTTTATCTATTTTATATATAGTAGTATCTGTAAATCTTGAACTCCCAGTTTATCCCTTCCCACCCCCTCCACCTCCTTGGCAACCATAAGTTTGTTTTCTATGTCTGTGAGTCTGTTTCTGTTTTGTAAATAAGTTTGTCTTTTTTTGAAGATTCAACATATAGGTGATATCATATGCTATTTCGTTCATTACATTTTGAATAGATTAATTTTCTTCAAGTATTTATTTGATCATACTGCTCTAAAAATGTCGCGTTATTGCCCATGGGGAAAAAGGATTGGTCTTAACTCCTCATCCAGAATTCAAGGCCTTCATGACCCAGAGCAGCTTACCTGGGATGTAGTAGAGAAGTCTGATAGATTCTAATACCACTTTTGCCATTTACTAACCCTTTGACTTTGGTAAGTCACTTAACCTCCCAGTGTCTCAGTTTCCTCCTCTATAAAATGGGTCATGAGGGTATCAACCTCATAGACGATTGTGAGACTAAAATGAATTTACATATAACAGTTTGAGAATGATGCCTAACCCATGGGCAATTACAGTTATTATTTTTGTTGTTAGTACCATGTTTCTCCCTTTTCTCAGACCCTCTGCAGCAGAGCCCTAAAGGCTCTGGATTTAGCCTACAGTCATGTTAACTTGTCATACAGAATATTCTGTTTTGTTTCTATTTGAATTAGTTGCCATTATATAAAAATCAGAATGGTCTATGTAAAAATCCAGATTTCTAGGTGGTTCTAAAAAATGTAAAATCTAGCAATAATAGATTGAAGATGAAAGGAAACTCAGCTTTCTTAGGTCCAGCCTTCCCCTCATTCAGGGCCCCTTTGTGGTAAAACATGGCCAGGGAAAGGCTCACAGCCATGCTGCAAGGTCTGTATCAGTTCAGGACCATAGACTTCCCAGCACATTGCACTTCCCAAGTCCTTTCACTTTTATAGTCTCTTTAGTAACTGTTTCACAGTCCCTTCTGAAACCTGTAACCTCCCATCCTTTTTTTTAGCTGCTCTTACTTCTTCCTTTCTGAGAAAATTGCACAATCAGGAGAGAACTTCCACGGATTCTCGCCATCACATCGTCCCTGTTGAAATGTGTCCTGGGACCATAAATGTGCTCTAGCGGAAAGCCAGCCTCTCCGGCTGTGCGCTATGCGAGCATATTGCTACCATAAGTCTCCCGTCTTTCCTCTCATAGCATCAATATTTTTATTTTTACACAGTTTATTCCTATCTTTTAAAAAACTTTCTCCTGTTTTAAAAAATTAAAGTGTTTTCTTGATCCACTTCCTTTACCAGCTTTCCCATCTACAACAAAACTTGAAGGGATTTTTTGCCAATTCCCCTATTGCTTTTCTCTCTTAAACTCACTCGGGAAGCTTCCTACCCTACCCCACCATCTCACTCGCCCCGCCCCAAGTTCCACCACAATTCTCTTCTGCGTCACCGGCACCCTCCACATTGGACCCAGTGGGTCTCGCTGATCTGGTAGCATCACTTGGCATAGATGATTGCGTCTTTTCCTTGATGAGCTTTCTTCACTTCACCTCCAGCACACCAGACTCCCTCGTTTTTTTCCTTCTCTGTCCTTTAGCTGATTTCTCCTTTTCCTTTGGCCTCTGTCCTTTTCCAGGGCTCTGTCCTCAGAATGATTCCCTGGGTGGTTTTAATCTAGTTTCATGGCCATCTATATGCTAAGAACTCCCAAACGTGCATCTCCAGCTCAGCTTTCAGCCCAGTGCCAAGACTCATCTATCTAATTGTTTACTCAGCATCATTTTTTGATTGCTCACTAGATTCCCCAAATGGCCATGTTCGAAGCCAGATTCCTGATCTCCACCCATGCACTCATTAAAACCTCTTCTCTTCCTTCAGCCTTTCTCTTTTCAGTTGCTGGCAGCTTCATGCTTCTGATTCCTCAGTCCAGAAACTTTGGAGTCATCCCTGACCCTGTCTTTCTCTTGTATCTCCCACATTCACACCTCATGCATCATGCCCATCGACAAGTAAGTCACTGTGCCTTCCAGAGATGTCTGGGGTCTGGCCACTTGGTCAGCACCTGCTCTGCTGTCAGGCTGGTCCCTGCCATCACCACTTCTCACCTGGTTACTACACAGCCTCCAAACTGGTTCTTCTCCCCATTACAGTCCATCCTCAAACCATAGGTAGAATCAGCCTGGTCACAACACTTTTCTGCTCAGAGCTTGGCATGTGTCCTCATTTCACTCGGAGTGAAAGCCAGAGGGTTTAACATGGTCTCAGGCGTCTGCCTGATCTGGCCTCTGTTACTTCCCTCGACTCCTTACCAGCTGCTGTTCCCCATTCCAGCCACACAGCCCTGGGCATTCCTCAGCCAGGCCGGGCACACCCTGCCCCCAGGTGCCTGCTGGGCAGTCCCTTGCCACCTTGGAATCTTTGCTCAAATGTTGTCTTTTGAATAAGACCAACTCTGTAACTATTTAAAATTGCAGTCTGCCTCCCACTCTGGTACCCCTTAACCAGAGGCACTTTTTTAGTAGCATTTATCATCTTCTAAGGCCCTATATAATTTACTCATTTATTAGGCTGAATATTTATTGTTTGTGTCCCTCTGCAAAAACATAAGCTCTACAAGGAAGCACCCAGGACAGTGTCTGAAACTTAGTAGACACTCAATAAATATTTGATAATTACGTTCTTTTGTCAAAATGTATTACAGTTTCAAAATTTATTTTAGGTAAGTTATTCTAGTGATTTAAAAATACTCTCCATGCCATGGATATTATTTTAATACTCACATATGCCATGAAAAAAATTTGTTCAGGAAATGTAATGTATTTTAAAAATAGATTAGGGTGTTTAAAAAATTGTATTTCTGTATTCATTTCTAAATTGAATTTCAAGTTTCAGGAAAAAAAAGACATGGTCAAGTGGGTTTGTATTAGACAAAGTGTACCTTGCTGATTTGAGATGGTAAATGGATGCTCACCTTTCCCATAGCAGATGTGCTGATAGAAGAGGGTGAAGAAGAAATTGTATTCTTATGTTTTAGGCCTTTGCTTTATTTCTTCCACTGAATCTAAACACCTTTTGAGTTGGATGAGTGGCTATATCAATACCCTGCTTATGGAAAATAATAATAATAAACTTAAAATTCTACTTTTGCTGTAGAATTTAGAGTGTTTTATTTTACAAGAAACTATAGTGTCCCTGGAAAACAGACTGTAGAATTACACAATACTACTTTTTTTTTAAGAAATCATAAAGTTTTACAAATAAGGCAATTCATTATCTAGAAGTACCTTTATAAATATTTAAATACTATAGGGCAGCTTTTCTTCTAAGCAGATCTTAAGCGTGCACTTTGAATGTTTCAGGCAATGCTAGTCCTCGATACATCCGCTGCACAACATACTGTTTCCCGTGCACGTCAGATATGGCCAAGCAAGCTCAGATCCCATTAGCTGCAGTCATCAAACCCTTTGCCACGATTCCTTCAAATGAGGTAAGAGTGATAAAAATAGCAATTCAGTAATTTATCAGTTCCCAAGTTCTCCTTTCATCATTATTTTCCCGTACATGATTCAAAAAAAAAAAAGAAAGCAAAAATCTGACAAACTGTGTCCTTTGTCATCCTGTATTCCAAACACTGATGGCCTGGGTCACTTTTTGGCCTACTGTAACAAGCACACACACAGGAAATATGGGCTGCCACACAGTGACAAATACCAAGACCTCTCGTGAGGCCCTTATACCCTAGTTCAGGGCCCCAATATCTAGGTGTTCTGGTAAAGGAAGATAATAGAGCCTTAAGGTCCTTGGTCTTACTGCAGCTGCTTTAGTAATCACTGGGCCAACATGCTCATAAACTCCTACTTAAAGTCAGCGTGATTAGAAAGCTAAGGTAAATAAATCTGTCTGTTTCAAATGGGAAAGATGTACCCAATTTACAGTTAAGTGGGGAAAAAGACAAGAAATGGTGTATATTGAAAATTTCTGATACTACGATGCTGTCAGTGGGCACTGTGATAAAGATGTCCACTCGACACAGCTGCCATTCCTCCTTTTGACGTCCCTGAGTGGAGGGTACCCACATGCACACGGAGACAGACAGAAGGTACTGTAGCAGAGCCCGTCGGATAGGAGGTGAAGAAAAGCCTTACTTCTGGCTGGAGCTTTGACTGTAGCCATCTTGCTGTGGTCCTGTAAGCTTGCTAAAAGCTAACATCTCAGATTCTCTTCCCCACTTAAACCTCAGCTTGGGTCCAGTGATCCTTTGAGGTCCCTGATCTACTGCACACCTAGTAGCACATGAGCAAGAGGCAGAGCATCTGTAAGAGAGAAGAGATTTGTACCCTTCCTTGGGCTGGCCATGCCAGCTGGATTGAAGGGTAAAGTGGTGGAGGAAGGGGAGGGAGGCCTGCTTTATGTTCCCCGAGGGAGGAAAGAAAGAGCAGGGACGGACGTGGTGTCCACGTGCAAAGTGGCTTTCATCTCCTTTGAGAAGTACACTCACTCTTCTTATGTGTGTGGCAGAATCCTGTCCTCTCTTCTTTTGGGGAGTCCAGGAAACTGGTTAGAGCTGGGCAGAGAAGACTGGGCTGTTCTTAGAAGCCAGTCTTACATGCAGTATGGTCTCATATTTGTGAACCAAGAAGTGAATTCAGTATTTACTTATTTTAGGCATGATGTTTTCTATGATGGTCCCAGAAATTTAATATAATGCTCATAAATTTCTCTTTAAAATCTCCATGCTTCATAAAATAGACCAGTATGTAATGACAAAGAGATCTATACAATATATGATATACATGTGTTAAATAATAACTAGTTATTTTAACTGGCTATTTCTCAATACTTTATTATGAAAATTTTCAAACATACAGAAAAATCTGAAAGAATATTCCATATACCTGCTGCCTAGATTCTGCCATTAACATTTAACTATACTTGTTTTATCACACACTGATCCATCTGTCCATCAAGCCATCTTTTTTTTTAATGCATTTCAATGTAAATTGCAGATATCAGTACACTGTCACCTAAACAGTCCAGCAAGCATAGCATTAGCCAGAGTTCAATATTTGATTACAGATTGTTTTTCCTTTTGAGGTGAAAATCATTTATAATAAAATGCACATGTCATAATTAAACATTTTACTGAATGTTGGCAAGTGCATACACCTGTGTAATCCAAACCTCTATCAAGATATGAACTGTACTGTCACCCTAGAACCTAGACAGTTATCTTACGCCCTTACCCCAGTCAGCCTCCCAGCCCTTCTCACAACCTTCCTCCTCCAACAACTATTGTTCTGACTTTTTTCCACCATGGATTTGTTTTGCCTGTTCTAGGTCTTCATATAAATAGGCTTGCGGAGTATGCATTCTTTCTCTCACTCAGCATAAAGTTTTAGAGAGCCATCATCATAATGTGGAGTATAGCAGTGGTTTGTTCCTTCTTTATTGCTGAAATGTATTTCATAGTATGGATATACCAGTTTGTTTATGGGCACCTGGGCTTTTCTGCTTTTAGGCTTTTGTGAATAAAGCAGCTTCTATAAATAATTCTACTACAAGTCTTTCCAGGGACATGTATTGTCTCTTGGATTAATACCCATGAGCACATTGCTGGCTAATGGGGTACATGTTTATTTAGTTTTATAAGAAACTGCCAGACCATTTTCCAAAGTGTTTGTACGATTTTACAGTCCTTTTAACATTGATCAGAGTTCCAGTTGCTCTCCATCCTCTCCAACCTTTGGTATTGTTGTCTTTTTAATTTTAGTAGTTCTGATGGCTGTGTCGTAGTATCCATGAGATATATTTTTTACTTCAATATTTATCCTTTGAGCAAAATTTAAAGTCCTAGTGAATTATATCACCCTCCTGTACATACCACCATCATTAACAAAAGTTAATATTTTGTCATATTTGCTTAAGATCATTTTCTGAGATTTAAAACTTCATAGCCAAATAGGATGTGTCCTCGAATCAAGCCATTCTTCTCTTTCCTCCCATTTCAGGCACAAACACGAATGACTTTGATATGTACTCTTCCCATATGTGATTTTACATATTGACTTCATATGCATGTATCCATAACAACATGTAGTAGTTTGGTTTTTTTTTTTTTGCTTTTTAATGAGTCAGTTACTTTTAAATAAGTAAAACACCAACATGCAAAAGATGGAAAGGGTATACAATGAAAAAAGATCCCTTCCTACCCCACAGACCACAAAGGTCCTCTTCCTCCCCTTTACAGACAATCTACCCGTTCTTTGTGATTCCTTCTAGAAAGGAAATATGCATATAACAGCATATGAGCATCCATCCTTTAAAACAAACAGATAAGTGGCAGTGTAGCATGCACACTCTTCCCCACACTTTACTTTTTCCAGTTAGTATGTCTGGCATTCCACCCATGTTGCTACCTATAGAGATGCCTCACTCTTTGTAACAGCTGTGTAACATGATATATTAATAAGACAAACACTGCTGTAACTGTATGTGTCCATTTGAAGTTGCATACAGATTTCAGAAATGTGAGAAGTTAAAAATATGAATCCTAAAGTTGAGGGAAATATATTAACATAAAGGTACCTGGAAGAATGACTCCCCTCAGGGGATGGGATCGCTGCAGATATGCCCTCCCCACCCGGCTCGTTCCCATGCTGTCTGAGTAGTTCTCTAGTGACTTGTTATTTTCAGTCTGGAAAAGATGACAATTCTACCTTGAAAGAAGTCTAGGCAGCAACAGAATTTTGTCTCAATATGGGATGTAGGCAGGGTTAGCTCCAGTGTGCCTTGTTCGTGGCAATGAATTTGCAGTTTTCAGCTCCATACCAGCAAAAGGCTCTGCTCCCTGCCCCCTCCCCATGAGAAGCTGCCCTGGGTCAGGCCTGCTTGGAACGGCACTGAACTCAACGGTTCTTCAGACCCCAGACCAGCGTGTGTGACCACCTTCTTGTTATCACCATTTAATAGTAACAATGAAATTATCTTTCAGTAATGCATTCCTGAAAATGAAACCTGGTATTTTGGGGGCTTTTGGTTGAAAAAAGGTTTCAGATGTTAGTTCCGGCCTCCCCTCAAATGTCTATACATATTTCATGCACACACTGAAGGTGTATGCTTTCTGATTGCCTAAGTTGTTTGATCGAACCAAATACTAGCTCCTCAGCAGCATAAGGGCTTCCTTTAGTGAAACTTTTCAAAGTAATAAACAGAAGAGTTTAAAGTGATGGCTTATTTTTGGAATCTGACCTAGGGGGAAGCTGTACTTGAGAAAATAACACACTTTAGTCTTTTAATGTTGCTAAGATTCTACCTACTGGCCACATACGTATTTTCTCTATTCTGGATCTCTACAGAAGCCCTTCCTTTTTTCTTAGACCTTCAAAAACAGGATTACTCAATTATTTGTGTGTGTGTATGTGTGTGTAGACAGGGAGGTATAATTGATGAATAAAATTATAAGAATATTTAATGAATATGTTGTATTTCAGAAGGATTACTATCTCTTATGGTGTCTCCTGGGTTAATGAAGACATTCTCTGTTTAAAAAAAAATACTTCTATTTGTTGAAATAGACTTAGAGGTGAAAAAAAATTTTTAATGGGATGCTAAAACACCAGGAAGAAAGTTCCTAAAGACTATGCCGTCAAAGACATTTTCTTCGTCTTTGGGCATCTAACTGGACCTGAACGTGGAGGGTCATGCACACTAGGGAGCTCTCCTTGCTGCACGGTGCCAGCTGGCCAGGTGAGAGTCTAGGTCACCAAGGACTTGGGCCTTCTTGACTGCCTCCCGTCCGTGGCTTCCATGACACCTGCCGGGTGTATTTTTCCTACCTCACAGGCAGGGAGCATTTTGGTTCCCTTTGTTGTCTTCCTGACTTCTAGTCTTGGGGTTCATCAAGGCTTGGACTTGGGGTCTCCTCTCTTTCTTCAGACTCCCTGTCCCCTCAAAGACTGCATATCATCTGTAACAGCTACTAGAGTTACTGGGGAGAATACTAATAGTCAAAACTTAGCACTCAGTGAGCACAATTAGATGTTCCTTTATGTGTGTTCATTTATTTAATCCTCACGTCCACCTGTTTATTATTCAACTTTAGATATAAGGAAATTGAAGCACAGAGTTAGAGAACTCATTAAGGCCAGTGGCTACTAAGTAACAGAGTTAGGATTCCAAGCCATGCAGTTGGATACCCAGGTCCATGACTCTAAGTCACTGTGCTGTTGCTCATTCATTTCATGCTACAACTGCAGCCCCATACTCGCTGATCCACGTGCCTTTCTGAAATGTCTCCTTGGGTATCCTCACAGAAACCTCAGACTTAACATGTTCAAAAGTGGATTTTCGATGTCTACTCCCTAAACCTGTTCGTTCTTTCATGTATCCATAAATAGCATTTTAATGCTCAAGCCAGAAGCCCAAAACTAAACAATTATAGCTAATAATAGAAAATAAGGGACATGCTAATTTTTTGATATTTACAAC